TGTCTGCATTTTGATTTGGAATAATTACGCTTGTGAAGTTACTATAATGTTATGTGCCGCATACAAATGAAAATCGTATCGTTCACCAAAACTGTCTCAACTATTTTCTTATTGTAAATCGAACTTCAGGTTTTTCTCTCAGTGTAGTAAAACAATTTCCAGTCAAGATGGATTAAATAAGATGATTTAATACAATACTAGTATTTATACAATGTTGAAAAGCGACAGTGTTATGGACGGAGAAATCTATGAATGGAGGTGTGAATAGTTCACAGGTCAAAGCCCGAATGTCCCTTGTCCATCGTTCCCCCCGATGGTCCCGCCGGGCCCTTGTCTTAGGCCCCATGTCACCAGGGGTCGTCAAGTACTCGTCAGTATCTGTCTTTCTCCGGTATCTGTCCTTGTCTTTGTCACCCCGAAAAAATCCGAAAATTGTCCCGCTTCAGTTCTATAGAAAATTAAGTGAGGGTTCGACAATGTCAAGTGAATATTATTGACTAAAGTATAAATTTCCCAAGAAGAGAGTTCTAATATCAAGCTAACGGATGAAAATTTCTAGAAGAAACTGAAAACTTTTTCTGAAAAATTGATTTACTACCATAGTAATAATCTTCATGTGATCTAAACAATTTTTGAGCCAGATTAATTTTCCTTCTCCGTGCGAAATTAATAACTTGAATCTCGCGAGTTAAAAATTGTATTGATATTTTTGAAACTGATGACAACAGATATCTGTAATAAACATTCTTTATTACAAATGTTTACGGTATTTTGAAGAGAGTATTTCACTCTCAACGAGATGGTAAATATACATTTTTTATGGTCGACTGGCTCTTCCTGCTCCTCGTCAACCTCGACGTGGATAAATTCATCGCGTGTTAGATAATCTTGCCACTAACTCAACACAACACGAGGAATTGAAGTGAGAGAGTGAGATGGAGGGAGAATGGGGGAAAGAATTTGGGCATGTGCGGTGTGTTTCTCTGTTTACGCGAGACTGTCGTCAGTGTCGCACTGTTGGAACATGAGGAATCGAGATATTCACATCAACGTCATTATTGTTTTGTCTTTTTCGTGATTCGCGCTCTCTCATGGGCACGCCAAGTCTTTCCCGAATTAAATTATCTTGGATTAATCTTTAAACATGAAGTGAACACATTGTAGGCAATTTTTTGAAAAATTAAATCTATTAAAGATATTCACTGAAAAAAGCGTCTTCAGAAATACATCTTCACTTGTATTCACAAATCTCCCTAAACACATTTTTTTAGTTATCGTGAAAAAAAAACAATTATTTAAGAATTAAAGAAATGGAAAAATTAATAAATGAATTAAATTTCAATTAAAGGCGATTGATAGAGCTCAATATCTCCTACATTTGAGGGAAAAAAGATTCAATTCCATCGATTCATCAGCGAACAATCGAAGAAAAAATTATTTATATATGTACGCACATACATACATACATAAAGCTTCGCTTTACGCACTCGAAATTCAATTTACGCACGCTCCTGAACTTTACGCACGCGAGCACAAAAACAACCACATTACCCCCAGTTTCGTTCCGAACAGTGAACTCGGCAGGTACCACAAAAAATAGGATATGTGAAAAAGTAGAATTTTACGCACTAGTAACACAATACATTGTTAGAAAAAAACAAAATTTCATGGATAGTTGACTACTAATTTTCAGGAGAGTGACATTGAAGGCGATTTAAGGGAAAAAAATAATGAAATTCCAGGTTTCGCTGAAAATTCAGTAAAATTCCAGAATTTTAAGCAGCATAAAGGCGAGAATTCCATAATTTATTTGAATTTCCAATCTAATATGAATATTCAGCGCCAAATTACATTGAATTTTAATGATTTTAGGTAAATTTTTCATTGGATCGCTTTCAGTGTCACTGTTCTGAAAATTCAAGAATATATTTACCCGAATTTTCTGGTGTTCTATTCATTTTGAGGGAAAAATGAAATTGAAATTCATAGCTCTCTTTGATTTTTCCCCGAAACTCGTTGAAATTTCACTGGTAATTAAATTCGTTAAAAAATTCCAAAAAGTCTACTGGAAATTTCAGACAAAATTTTTTAACAGTGTATACTATTTCCTAACAATATGTGAAAAGCGGGATTTTGCGCACGCGGAGCGTGCGTAAAATTTCCCTTTACGCACAAATAATGAAATACACTATTTTCAAACTGCCAGCAGTTAAAAACTTGCTAGACTTATATACAACACGACAATATATTTTATTGCCTGCTTGCAACTGGTGGTGTCAAGAATTACACCAAGGAATGACGCGCAAGGGACTATCGGTTTTCGATACTGTCGGTACAGCCCCCCAAGCACCGAGCACAAAAGCCAGCAAACGCGAAGAAACGAGCGAAGGCGATAACCGGCATAAGAAATTGACCGTCATATTTCCTGCCCGCCTCATCTCTTTATTGCCCAGTTGAAGAAAAACCTTCTCTTCCTCTCTCCTTTATACCCGAAAGCATGCATACAGATTCTCTTATGTGAAATCGTACATTGTGAATGGAGTTGAAAAGAAATTGATATCTGGAGCCTTTTGAATTATCATCGCGATGCTCACACGACTTCTGAATTCCGGCGGCACGGTTTGGGGAAGAAAGCAAGAGGTACTCGTTTTCACGGCGATTTATGATATCGCTGGAGACTCCAGAAAAGTTCTATATAAAGAGGGTTGAAAGATTCCGGGGCTGTTTGGCTCGCCACGATAATCGCGTCGTGATGCGAATTCCCAAGGTATTTTACGTTATTTTTTGTTCTTTGGGGATTTTATTTCAATATCGTGGATTATATCCAAAGAAGTTTTTAGGTGAACGGTGAAATTTTGAGAGCAATGAATAATATATTCAGTTCTTTTAAATTTAGAGAATTTAATATTTGAGAGGATTTGCTTTAATTTATGGGTTATCTCGTATTTTGGAAGAGTAATGGATTGGTAATGTGTAAAGGCAATCTGAAATCTTGTCTATGCGGAGAAAAAAGTTGGCGAACCATGACTAGACAAGTCAAGTAATCGTGGAGCGGAATCCATTTTAGGTCTTTTTCATCCTGTATATCCTATATCGGGGCAATAAGTGCGAGATAAGTAGCGAATTTTTCTCCGCTGGCTCGGGAACATTCACTAAGCGTTAGGGTAATTTGGGTCGAAACAATAACATTTTCCCTCCATCCCAGCAAAAACTTTCCTGTGAACGTGAATAATCGCTCAATATTGCGTAAACATTCACATATGTATGGGAATTTTTCTGTGATGAACAATGATTTCTAATTAAAATGCATTATAGATATCGAAAAAATACCCTATCATTGAGGAAAATTTTGCTATACAAGATGTGTTTGTTAACCAAACGAATCGTAAGATGTGCTATAAAAAAGTACTATTTATGAAATTGCCATTTGGAAATCTCCGCGATTTTATAGACAATTTTTACTCGACTTTTCTCTCCGTGTAACCAACTCCGAAGTTCATCTCAATTGATACCTTTCCAACTTTTTCGGAATTTAAGTGCATCCAAGTACTTTGAGTGTTTTTGCTTCCACACGGAGAAACAATACCAGAGAAATTACGGGCACGGTAGAATGGGTTCATTTGGACGAACTCGGAAAAATTTTACGAGCCAGCAACGGAAAATTTGCTGTGGAGTATAAGAATTTTTCGCGGTAAATCCGAAAAAAATTCCTGTAGCGCGCGGTAATTTTTCCGGGTCCATCCAAATGAACCCATTTTACCATGCAAGCACAGTAATTTTTCTGGTATTTTTTACTCCGTGCACATGGAAGCTTTATAAATGCGTTGTTCATTCAATCGATGGAATTTTCTTCAACACTTGGAATTAAATCTCAAACCTCCTATGGAAGCCCCATTTGAATCGAGGTTACCAGTCATTTGTTAATTGTTTTGTTATTCGAACATTGAAGGTCAAAATTTGATTCTCCATTTTGAATGATCGGAAAATATTTTGAAAATGTGGAAAAAACTGTAAACACTATTTTCCAGGGAAACTTGAGGAATAAATCGAAAAATTGCAAACATCGGAAATTGCCATTTTAAAAATAGTTCATTAACAAGCAATTTGTACTAATATTTTTGAGCGGAAAGTATTAATTCTAAAATTAAGAATAATAGAATATTCTTGAATTAGGACAAACAGAGAAGAAAATTAGAGAAAAAAAGCTACCGAACAACTCTATATCGGAGAAAAAGTGCGAGACAAATAGTGAATTTTTCTCCTTTCGCCCTGGAACATTGACTGAGCGTGAGGGTAATCTGTGCCGAAACTATAAAATTTACCCTGCATTCTATCAAAAATTATCCCAGTGACCGCGACTGATTGCTCAATACTGCGTATAATTTTTCTGCAACGGAGAATGATTTTTTACCGAACGCGTTCAGTAAAATTCCATATTCATTCGTGCCCATGACCTTCAGATGCATGTGGGAAATTTTACTCTAAAGAAGGATAAATTTTTCAATCCTAGATGTATTTTTTTACCGAACGAATCGTGAAATATCTTCTACAAGCAGATACGTTCTCACTGAATTGCATTTCGCTCCACAATTACCTTTCGTTCAGTAAATTCTCCCACGATTTTCTAGGTAATTTTTATCCGACTTTTCTCTGCGTGCATGAATAAACTCTTAATCGAGCCCTTCCTCAACTCCTTTACTTTTCCACAATGTCCATACCCAAGAGTCGATAAAAATTCAATCATAAAAATAACATTTTTATTCCCTTTTTTTTACGAGAAATCACGGAGATGGACTCTTTCACAGGCCCTCGTTTGGGAATTCCGAGTTAAATTGAACTTCCTTCTGCTCTCTTTCAATTACTCTTACCTCCGTTGAACGTAACTCAAGAGATTTAAACTTAATCCCGGCGGAGGGGGCGGGGGTAATAATTAAAACCGAATAAAGTCGGCGGAGTGAACTCCACCAAATAGCGAGTAGAACAAAAGAAGATTTGCTCACGGTATTTTCCGAGACGTGATCCTGACCAGTCGTCGATCTATTGCCCTGGAGTAGTGCCTCGAGGCTCTCGATGTACTCAATGGCGTTTCTCAATATCTCTACCTTGGGCAATCTCTGGTTAGGATTGTTACTCGTCCGCCTCTTCAGTACTTCAAATGCCTCGTTCACCTGAAATCACATTATATTTATCGGTTTAGGGATGTTTGAGTTGTTTGTTGAAATACCCCGAATTTATTTAAATTGTCCTTTGTCAAAGTATTTGAAATAATAATATTGTATTCATCATTCCTGAATATAATATTATTACCTCAAATACAGACAGGAATAACAGATCATGTTTTTAGTCAATATGGATAATAAACGGATGAATATGAACTGTAATTGAATAACGAATGCACCCGCGGAAATGAAGCATTGGAAGCAAATAAAACTCTTTGTTTGGAACACGTTAATAAATTCGTTCTATTAGATATTTAAACGACGATCTCATTCCTATACAATAATAGTTATTTTCATCACAAGGTCCACAAAGTATTTTCTGACGAATGTGATTATAGGCCTCGCCTTCGGCTCGGCCTACAAAGCCACATTCGTCAGAAAATACATTTGGACCGTGTGATGAATGGAATTTTTCGTCAGAAGGCCCGTAAACCGCGATCAAACCGAGCGAAGCGAAGCGAAGCGATCAAACCGAGCGAAGCGAGGTTAGAATCGCGGTTTACCGGGTCTTCTCACGAAAAAAGAAGTTTTTAGCTTCCAGGACAAATTTTTGAATTTCACAACTCTGCGGTACTGAAATTAAACGAATAAGCAATCCTGAAAATGAGGGATTTTTTAATTTATTTCGAGAAAATTTCCTTGGAAATGAGAGAAAAAAATCTCATTTTCAGCTAGTTCTACTAGAATCTAGTATCATTAGACTTAAATTAAGGATATCCAAATGCTTTCCGATTTTTGTAGTGGAAAATCAAAGCTTTCATTTAAGCTCCATTTAACCCCATGTGACAGGACATTTTACATTGATTTTATTATTTAAACTTTGCAGGTCTGAATACGAATCTGGACATTGACCCGTTAGAAAACATTTTAAAAATCTGAAAAAAAAATTGAAAATTGACTTTCGGAGGAAGATTGATGAAATAGTTCATAAATTGCAATTTTTCAAAATTACGAGCATTTTCTATAAATAAATTTTAAACTGTCAATTTCCCATCATAAAAATCATTTGTTTAAAATCGCAACGGATTTACTCATATTCATAATTTTTAGCTGAAATCGATTTCATGCGTAAAAAATAAGGTTTCCGAAAGTTTGAACAACTTCAATTATTTATTTGTAAACAACGAATGTTTAAAGAATAATAATTCTGTACAAAATGTCATTTGAGTGACGCTGAATATTCAGGATTGTTTTCAAATTTTTCTCACCCAATTTAATTGACGAATTTGATGATAGAAAATGATTAAATCTATAGTGTGTTCTGTACCAAACTGTAAGAGATACTTGGATATCTTTAATGTAAATTCTCTCCAATTTGACAGAAATGTTGGCTTTAGAATTCAGACCCTTTAGGGTTTTTAAATAAGAGCTGGGATTTTTTTACTCAGGAACACCCGGGTTCTTAAAATCAAAACATTCTCGTTCTTGAGTTGACGATTCGACTGTTCTAAAATTAATTTGCTCATATTTATAAATCCTCTGTTATTCAAGTATGTGGCCTGACAATTTGATTCAAACAATGTTGAACTAATGTTCAATGATGTTCAATGAATTTTATGCCTTTCGAGTGTGCTCAGTTGTTGTTTCTCATTTCCTTTATTTATATCTAACAAACTATTTATTTGATGTAAATAAAAACGCTAATAAAAATAATGTTTCAGTTTGCATGAAAGCTTTATTACGAGCGTTTACAAAAGACGATTTATGTGAATCAAATAAAGTTTAGCAATTTAAGTAGCCAAGTTTTTCAAGTATCAAAATTACGAAATGTTGTTCACTGAGGAATAAAACTGTTATAAGATTCAAATAGATCAAAAAAAGTTATTGGAAATATCTCCCCACATCTATTTCCATTTCCGACAATGACGAAATTCGTTGTACTTCTAACAAGAAATAACTTCCCATCAAATACGTCTCGCTCCCAAGAATTCCTGTGAAGCTACCGTATTTAATGTGATTTACGCTGATATCCCGGCACACGTCAGTCTTCAGCAATATGAAAGGAGTTACTCCAACATTTGAAAGATTTCACTAATCCCAGGCTTGTTACTAGCCTCGAATCTACCTCCCCCCCCTTCATGCCCCTCGGGAGCTATTTAACCCGCGGTTAATCCCCGCCATAAACTCATCGCAAGTTTACTAACTCTGCGGGCCAGTACGTCAAGCCTTAGCCGTGGTTACACCTTCAACTCCTCAGGTCATAAACCCGCCTCAGCTCACCGTAAACTTAACGAGGATATTTAGGTTTTTTGAAGGAATATGGTGAAATTGTTGGGATGATAGAAAAGTTGATTGTCCACGGATATTCATAAATTTTAATTAATTTCCCCAATGAAATTTAATGGGGTACACTGAAAAAAAATTACTTTTGCCAAGAAATCATCAATTTTTTTAGGAGAATAAGAGAATTTATGTCAGGTCGTGCAATCAGTCGAGTTTGAAGCAGGCTGCGCGAAGCGCATTATTGTCATTCGATTCACATAAGAAAAGTTTCATTTTTTATGTATGTGTCCCTAATTTTTAAGGAGTCTTGGAGGTATTATGAACTCTTTATAATATTCTCCCAATTTGTCATATTTTTCAATTTTCTTATTTCATAGATTTTAGATGATCTTCCATAAAATCACTTGAATAAAAATTGAGATTATCAAATTGTTTACAACAATCAAATGATAAATGTTATTAGAAAATAGAAATCAGTAGCGAAGTGGTCAAATGATTTAAAGTAGCTCTACCCTTACAGTAAATTCAAAGATTATTGAAAACTGCAAAAAAATTGCAGAAAACTCGATTAAATTCGGAATTCTAATTTTTTTCTCAATTTAATTATCGTTTTGGTTTTTCAAACAAGAAATGTTTAAAAATCAGGATTTAGCCCAGTAGATTGTCTTATGTGAAAATCAGAATTTTCATTGTAATCAAAGATTAAAATCTGAATTTTTTTTCATTAGATGTGAAAAAATCAAGAATTTTGTTGATACCTCATAAAAAATAATCCACCGTTTTCCAAACAAGTTTTATTATTTATTTATAAGAGGGAAATATTTGAAAAAATATCAATACTTTGCGAAATTTAATTTAGATAATACTGACTGAGTATAAATTTTTTCAATTTTTTTCCATGCAATTTAGTTGAAAAATTTAGAAACTGAAAATATCCAAAAGTACAGCGTAGCGTGGCCGAAGGGTAGAGCTACTTTAAGTCAATTTAGTCTTTAGTTGTGTTTTCCAAAAATATTTCCAAATTTCAGGGAGATTTCCATAATAACCTTTTTTGAAGAGCGAATTCAGTGCTACTAAAAAGGTTATGAGAAAAATTTTGCTATCTTCCTTAGATTTCAAGATATTCATTGAAAACTGGCCAATAGCCGAAATCGACTTAAACCGTTTGACCACTTCGGTACTTAAGTTATGTCATGACTCCCATTTACGATTTTTCATACATCAAAAAAGGTTCGAAAAAGGTCAAAACTGCCCGTAAAAAAATTCAGGTACATGAAAAAAGTGGTGTGACCCTCATCGCGCTGAATAAAGTGTGGGATATTTTTCGAATGGAATTGCCAAGGGACTGACCTTCCTCAACCTTCTCCTCTCACGCAGCGTCGCCGCTTTTCTCCTGTCAACCGTCACTGTCTTCTTTTTACATGCTTTGCAGGCCCACAGCAGGCACCTTCGTGGCCCATGGGGTGAACTTGCGTCCAGTACGTGGGGGTGTGGCACGTGTTCTACACTCTCACTTTCATTAGTCGTCTCATCACCGTCTGCTGAAGCCGACTCTGGATCTCCCGACGCATCTGCGGACAGGATTGACGATGCGTCGTCAGAGTCTGGGAGATAGTGTGATTGTGATCTGTAAACAAATCAATTGTATTCTTAAAAAGTCTTTGATGGAAATAAAATCATTTCCTTTCATTAAATTTTCGTAAATGTTTATTTCATCATTTTTGGTGAGATCGAAAGAATTTTAACTCTAGTTTGGTCCCCAGATGCGAACCGGCGACTTTGTCACCTCCGCGCGGATTAATCGCCGTGTTATTTCGGCTCCATCGTTGCCTAATTCACTCTACGCTGCCCGAGCGCGTTTAGTGGGTTTTTGACAACGTCGCTTAACGGATAATTTCATGTAACACCGATTACATAATCGACTCAGAAAACTTAAGTGGAGGTCGTAATTTTTCGATTCAATTAGATTCAATTTCCTGCAACCACATTTCGCTCCGGAATTCCGGAAAAGATATTTTTATTGAGTATTTCTCTCCACGTGGGAAAAAATAATTCCTGTTTTGGAAATAAGTTATGTTCTTGAGAAATTTTGGACACTAGGATATTCGAAAAATTACAGTAATTTTTTAAACACTTCAATTGACAGAGGGATTTTTGAAAAAAAATTTCACTAGGCCAGTGAAAGAAAATTAAAGAAGAACGACGCGTTGCTACGTTTTCCTCATATAGGGGACCAGTCTAGGGTTAATTGGGAGCAAATCTGGAAAAAAAATTTGAAGATTTTAGAACCCTACACTTTTTAGACATTTCTATTTGAAAATTAAATAAAAGCTGCATTTGAATTTTCAATGTTATGAATGTTAACTTAATTTTGGTTTTAATGATTGATTAAATTTCGTTTGAGTTTTTTATGTTAAGAAATCATTGATATTTAAATGACAGCTTAAATTTCACCTCGATTTAAATATCAAAACAATTGATTTTTATAGTAAAAAATTGATTGTTTATAAATTATTCATAGGAAATGCTCGTAATTTTTAACAATTGAAATTTTTTAATTATTCCATCAATCTTCATCTAAAAGTAAACTAATTTTTTTCAGATTTTTAAACTGTTTTCTAACAGTTCAATATCGAGATTCAAATTCAGACCTGAAAAGTTCAAATAACAAAATCATTGTAAAATGTTCGCAAGCTTAGCATCAAATGGGGCTCAAAAGAAAGCTCTGATGTTCGACTACAAAAGTAAAAGAGCATTTCACTAGAGAAAAAATCACCAAAGTACTTGGATATCCTTAAGTTTTGAAAGCTAAAACACTGGAGTGCGCCGCACGAGAGCTTTTCTGCAAAACTTGATGCACTCATTTCTTCGCAGGAAAGCCAGAGACAAAAACCCGGTGAATTTTGAAGTCAAAAGAAGAGAAGACAGAACAACAGAAATTTATCTGTCAAAGGAAGGGAATGCAATCGCTAAATCACTGTGGAATTATCAAAATAACACTGAAGTGATCAAAATCAGGATTGAGGTAGTCATCAGTGAAACGTGATATTTCTTTATTTTATTCCTCCTGAATCAAATTCAATGTCATTCTCCTGAAAATTACTACTAAACTGTTTATGAAATTAAAATCTTTTTTCCAGGAGTGATTTGATACCACATTCACTTGCCGAAATTAGTGATCATATTCTTTTTCCTCAAATACCAAGATGATTGAGACCCTTCATCCCCCCTCGTGAACCCTCCACCCATCTATTTGCATAAAGTGAAAACAGTTTAAAGGTCAACAAATCAATCGTCACTCCCTGACACATAAGCAATCAACTCTTTCCGTTCATTACACCCGTGTCATTCGATTTCCGCGGAGTTAAACTTCTTTAGCGCGTCAATAAATGTGTCAGCTCAATCCATAGGCACTCGACTGGGCCAACACTCCTCTCGGCATTGTACATAAACCCCCCGTGTCCAGAAATTCTATCACCCTCTGTTCCTCGAATTGAAAAGAACGAAAAAAGCCAATATTTCACGGTCTTTCTCGCTTTAACGTCGAACAGAGCATCTCGAGCGCATCATTCATGGGGTTGGATTTTATATACTCTCGGGTACTTGGAGCAATTTGACAAGATAGTGTGTGAGGGTAGAAGTGGAAGAGAATAAAGGGAAGCGGAGAAGGGCTTTATCATGGAGGTGGAACATTTCCATTTTTATTACACTCGTTGGGGGATTCTAATGCTGAATTCAATTCATAAAATAGGTTTTCATTTTAGTATTCTACAATTATTAAATTTTTCATTCTTTCAGTGATTTTTTTTAATTAACTATTTTTTTACATTAATTTTCAATGAAATATTTGTTATTGGCAAGTCAATTCATTTAGTGAATATTCGATGAAATTGTTGGATGAGAATGAAAGCCATAAAAAAATCAATTGCATCTAATAAGTTTGAAATTCCAGACTTCATTGTTCAGATTTTTCAGTTAAAGCTTCCGGTACATTTTGGAACTTTTACGAGAAGAAAATTCCTCTGGGATTTCAAGGAATTTCGTCATTGAAAAATCATAAATTGATGAAAAAATCAATGGAAACTAATTTTCAGTTTAATTATTCTATAAAAATCGTCAGATATTTCTTGAAAATTCGACGTATTTTGCTACTGAATATTTGGATTGCGATTCGAAATTCAAAGAACTTGGAGAATTCTTGTCTTTTTGCTGCTAAAATTTAGGATTTCCATTAAGTTTTCAGTGAGATTTTTTTTTATTCAAGCATTTCTGAACAATTATAGTTCAATTTACATACATGTTTTTTTTTATAAAAATGAGTCCACATGAACTATCTACAGATATTGTGGTAACTTTGAACTATCAACAATACACTTCAGATTTTTATGGAACATTTAAGAAGAAACTCGTTAATTATAACAAGAGAATTTTTATTTAGTCTAATTAGGAATTCTCGTGCATGATATGGTGTAAAAAATTTTCGGTTCATAAGTTTTTTGAATGATCACTTAATATAAAAAGTATGATTTGATTAAATGTTCAATGAAAATGAAAAATTTCATGACGACCTGCTCTCAACTTGAACTCTAAAAAATTTCTAACAGTGTATTATCACAAAAAACGACCATTGTCATTCACAGTCATTACTTTGTATCAATATAAAAAATCCCCATGATTTCTACCGAAAATCATTCATTTTTATTACCACCTTAATTATTACCCTTTCAAATAACTGCCTTTAAAATTTTTTTCATTCACAAAAAAAATTGGTAATCATCCAAATTGCCTCTTCCTTTGATAAAGTTATGAATACCTTAGCTGATCATGCCGATAATGACCAGAAGCAATGCTCTCCGGTGATGCAGCACTTCCATCTGCACTAGTCGTTCTCTGCTGCTCCTCCCTATCCCGTTCACCTCCATAACTCGGAAAATATTCAGCCTCCGGTGAACTGTAAAAGTGCCGATGGTGATGGTGATGTGAATGGTAAGTATCGCACGAGGGCCTCGTTTCATAGGGATAGCTTCCCACGTCTGTCATAAGGGTCATCATTTCACAGGGTGTTTACGTCTTGAAATATCACCAGCACTTATTTTTTATCTAGTACTTCACAACACTCATAGTATCGATCATTCAATCAATCAATCACAATTCATGAAATTTTATTTTATCGCAGCACTTCACACACTCCACTGTTTCTGCTATCAATCGAATAACTAATCAATCGATTATTCAATCACTAAACTTATGTTTATTCACTGAATAATTTTCTTTTCAACTGTCCAAAAAATGGAAGAGTAAAAAATTGCGATTTGTTTTTTTCGTTTCCCTTGAAAATAATGAAAAATGTTCTTGAGAATGTGAATATGACGCCTCTGACAGTGTAGACCGGGTCCGACAATCACGAAGTCAGAGATCAGAGTGAAAAGTTTTGAGCCAATGTTTCATGCCACATGGTTGGCCCTCACTTCCACACACACGTTGTTTTTTTTTCCTCCCTTTTTTCCCTCTCCCTCCATCATCCACCAGTGTCTTAGCTCTGGATATTTACGTTTTACATGTGTCACAGGCCAGCCCCGACTATTTTTGAGGCGCACTAGTGGGGGGGAGTTGGGCCAATTGGACACTAGGATAATCAACTTGGAGTCAAAAGATTATACACGCCCACTCTCTTGGCTTGTCATAGATGCATTAGGTTTGGCAGTTATAGCGTCGTGGGATGGTGCTGTATCATTAATTAGACCTACCCCACGGTAATATCACCACTCCCACTTATTCACCCTCCCCTCCCCCCTTCCCCCCCCCCCCCCCCCCCNTCGTTTCCCTTGAAAATAATGAAAAATGTTCTTGAGAATGTGAATATGACGCCTCTGACAGTGTAGACCGGGTCCGACAATCACGAAGTCAGAGATCAGAGTGAAAAGTTTTGAGCCAATGTTTCATGCCACATGGTTGGCCCTCACTTCCACACACACGTTGTTTTTTTTTCCTCCCTTTTTTCCCTCTCCCTCCATCATCCACCAGTGTCTTAGCTCTGGATATTTACGTTTTACATGTGTCACAGGCCAGCCCCGACTATTTTTGAGGCGCACTAGTGGGGGGGAGTTGGGCCAATTGGACACTAGGATAATCAACTTGGAGTCAAAAGATTATACACGCCCACTCTCTTGGCTTGTCATAGATGCATTAGGTTTGGCAGTTATAGCGTCGTGGGATGGTGCTGTATCATTAATTAGACCTACCCCACGGTAATATCACCACTCCCACTTATTCACTCTCCCCTCCCCCCTGCCCCGTCTCCCCCATCCCCCTGTGAGCCACGATGAGTGATTTTTTCGGATTTATCTGGCTGTCAGTGCTTGGGTTAACGGTTTAATTTCAATTCATCATCTCAGAGTGTAGGTGAAGACGGAGACAACAATTTGAATAGAATTTTAATATTCAGGGAAATAGCGAGAAATGGAGAAACCACTGGCAATGACTGGCGTCACAATTAGGACTTCTTTTGTATTCATTGCATTTTAAAATGGAGATTTAGTAAAAAATTCAACATGTAAAAATCATCATTCTTGAAGAATGTGTATTGATAAAAATTCTTGGCTGACATTTTCGGAACAGTTCTTGGAAATTTTTATCACATTATGATTCCACTGAAATGTTACGGAATTTTGTAATTGAAAATTCAGGATTATTTGGTACTGAATATTAATTCTTTTATTACAAATGACAATAAGTTGGGGAATTCTGGGGTTTCTACACCAGAAAAATTTGAAATTTTATTAAAATCTTAAATTTTTTGATTTATTGAGAAACTGAAACTCCTGCCAACGGACTATGACGTCACAATTATTACTTATTTCGTATTCATTACATTTTAAAATGAAGATGTAGTAAAAAAATTTACGCAAAACGCTTGTTCTTGAAGAATGTATACTCTTAAAAATTCATAGCTGAAATTTCCGGAACACTTCTTGGAGATTTTTATCACATGATTCCGCTGAGATTTCAAGGAATATTGTAATTCAAAATTCAAAACTTTGGGGAGAAATCAATGGAAACGGTAAATTTTACTCCAATTATTATATAAAAATCAATGAAGAGATAAAAATTCAGACAGATACATTTTTCAATTGCCGATTAATTGTAAATTCTGGGTTATTTGATACTGAATATTCATGTTTTCATTGAAAATGCAACTAAGTTATGAGATTCTCGTGTTTCTGCTAAAAAATTGAAATTTCATTGAAATTTCAGTCAAATCTAAGATTTTATGATTTGTTGAGGCATTGAGAAACTGCTCAACGGCCTACGATGTTACAATTATGACTTCTGTCGTATTCATTACATTTTAGAATGGAGATATAGTAAACAAATTGGCACTGATTGTTACACTGTTAAAAAATTTTGGCCGAAATTTTTGCGAAACGCTTTTTGACAAAGTTTACACACTATTATTCCACTAAAATTGCAAGGAATTTCACTGAAAATTCACAATTCTATGAAGAAATCAATGGGAACTGTGAATTTCAGGTCAATTATTCCATAAAAATCAATAGAAACTGAAGAATTCAGGTAAATGCATTCGTCAATTTCCAATTATTCAAAAATTCAGCATAATTTGGTACTGAATATTCATATTTTCATTCAAACTGCAACTGAATTGAGAAATTATCGTATTTCTACTGCTCAAAAAAATGGATTTTCATTGAAACTTGATTGAAATCTGAAATTAAAAATTTTTTACCCGAAATCGAATCCAATTTCACTCTCCCGAAAGTTACTAATCGCCTGTCCATAAAATTCCGATTTTCCCTACTTTCTAAACTACAGAAAACAGAGAATATCTCCTTTACACAAAAGATAGAACAATGCCCTTCCCATCCACCATAAAAAATCATGAGAAATGACTTCATCATAAATTCAAATCAGGCAGCAAAAAAGTAGAAGAAGTCTGCAAAAAGAAAAAACTGTTCGCATAAAAGAATGGAACGACCCGGGTTATCCCTATTATAATGCATATAAAAAAAATTCGTAAAAAGTGAAAAAAGGAAACGCACTATATTCCCATCGAAAAAAAAAAATGTCACACGACCACCAGAAACATAACAGCCAGAGTATAATGGTATGAGACAATGGCGTGTGGTACAAAAGTGTCAAAACGTGTACCTTGAAATGTGTCATACGAGGATACATCAAAAGTCCTTCATTTCATTTTCTCGTTTGTCGGTATATCACGAGTAGAATTTTGCATATCAAACGAAAATTCCACCAACGAGTCGACGAGCGCCAACCAAGTCATATAGCACACACCTCCGGAGCACCAGGTCACCCGCAGGCGCACGTGAGGGTCGTTAAAATGCATTTTACCTTGTCTCTTAATTTTTGAGTTTTTATTTTTTGTTTCCTCTTTTCCCATCCCCCGTACCCATCCCCCCTTCGATATAATCCAGAAACTAGTGTCACATACGTAGGTACGAGTAGTCGTTGGATTCGGGGAATTAGAATGGTCTATTGAGCGTCGAATAAAAGCTAAAATTATCCTGGCAATAATCCAGACGGGCGAGAGACAGAAAACTGTGTAGTGGCACCAAGCACGTTGTACCACTGGTTATCGTCACACGCCAATCAGTTAGACATTATATTTTTCGCATTTTTTTTATGTCTCATGATTTTTTTAGGGGTTTTCACATCCACTTCAGACATTTGAACTTTGAGGTATATCCCAAGACAGTATCACCCAAAAGTTAGTCCCTATAGATTTCCGGGAAAAAATCTAAATGACTTGATTTATTGCATCCTCGTAAGTCATTGAGTTATTCTATCCTCATATGTTGCTGATGAAGGCAACAATAACAGTTTGAATCAATCACGGAAATTCATGAAGTTTCAGTGGGAGTGAGATGGAAATTTTACAACTTGATTGAATTTTCAATGCAACATGAATATTTAGAAATAAAATGATATTTATTTTCAATTTTTCCTTGAATTTTTCTGACTTTTCTGAACTTTTAGAGAATAATTCAGTAGCGAAGCGGTAAACCGCGTTATAATTCAATTTTGACTGTTGGCCAGTTTTTGCCATATATCTCGGAATCTAAGAGAGATAGACAAATTTTTGTCATGACCTTTTTGTACGGCCAATTGAGGGTTATAAAAAAGATTATGTGAATAATTTTGCCGTCTCTCTTAGATTCCGAGATATTCATCAAAAACTTACTAAAAGTCAAAATCGACTTAACCCGGTTTATCGCTTCGGTACTGAATTGAACTGAAAAATCAAGTATTTTATTGATTTCCAGCTCATTGGAATAGAAAATCAATGGAATATTTTATTTTTCAATGACAAGATTTCCTGAAAATTCAGTGAAACTTGAGTACAATAAAAATTACCGGACTTTAGCACAGAAAAATCAGACGAAAATTTTTAACAGTGTAATCTGACTTTCGTCTACGTCAAAACGGTCAATTATTCATGATATTGGACACTGACTAGAATGATCCTGATCATCAATGATTGTTATCATTGAAATTTGGTGATATATTCCTAAAAATCAATGACATTTTCCTGCACTGATGGAACGGTTTAGTCGAACCAAACGAGACTTTTTAACTATTACCACGATTCGTTAACTATTAACGAATCGCGGTAACAGTTAAGAAGACTCGTTTGGTGCAACTGAATCGTTCCACCTTTTCTATCAGTGTGACAATCAAAAATTTTTTTCTGTATAACGATTCTCTTCCATTTCTACTCATATTGCGTTAATATCGTTAATATTGTGCGCACAATGGCCCAGAAGAGGAGATATATTGGAATAGGAGTGATGATACGATAGCAATCCTGTAACTTGGAAACAAAGTACTCCTTGATTAATTTCACTTTATGAGAGATCTTCTCATCGTGAAAAGGCACCATCTGGCATGAACGATCCCTTCGAAACTTTCGTATGTTCAAACGAAACAATTCCCATCCCGTAATTTTCAGCTCACGTTATTTTCGGTTCAAACAAGGCTTCTTTGAGAACACGTTTTTTTCTCTCAGTGTGAGGTGAACATCATTTCAGTGGCGAAGTGGTAAAACGGTACAAGTCAATTTTGACTATTGACCAGTTTTCAATGAATATCTCGGAATCTAAGGAAGATAGCAAAATTTTTGTTACAACCTTTTTTCTAGAGTCGATTGAGAGCTACAAGAAATGTAATTACGAAAATTTTGCTATCTCCCTTAGATTCGGAAATATTCAGGAGTAATACCCCAAGAGCTTCAAAATCATCGAGTATTTCCCGATAGCTTCGTTGCAAACAAATGAGGGTGTCAAGTTTTGCAGGTTAAAAAATCCCGAGCGCTTGCGCGAGTGCAGTGGACAATATCAGGAGGTGAATTGGGGAAGATTTGAACAAATTATG